GTGACCCAACTGGCCCAAGTGACCCAACTTGGATGAATTAGTAAAGTTTGTATCACATTGTATTGATATGCTCTAATAGTGTCTGGGAATGAGACGCTCTTAGAGGCTAAAACTTTCAAAATTGTGATGTAAGATTTAGCTCTTACCGACTTGAGAGCAATCAAGAGTTTATATTCTTTGACCCAGACATATACAGGGTGAGGAAGCAAGAGATACGGAACAATTTATTTCAGAAATGAACTCTTCCAGCGGGTTTTAAGCAATCTTTAAACATTGACTCATACATGTAACCAAAGATTACTCAACGGAATTATTCCGTTTCACTGTAGAATAGAAACTGTCACACTGCTACAGGAGTCAAATAATTTCTAGGCTTTCAGTTTTACTATTACCTATTAAAAGAGAGTCCTGATCATTATGCTCAGTAATCGGCTGACTAAAACCCCGCTTTTGATGTAAAAAGATGTTGGTTAAAGTATTAATGTTGTTACATATTGTCAGTTTAGAATTCATAAACTCATATAAATTCAATTTAAGTCAATTCAGTTGATACTGTTAAAGCAGCACAAGCGGAAATTAAACGTAAGGAAAACAAGCAGTGAGAAAATATGGAACACGCTGAAGCCTTAATTCCGCCTGAACAGTCGATCCGTAAAATCATCCGTTAGTAAATTCACAGCACACAAAATCCACCAGATCTGTTATCGTAAAAGAAGAGCGTCTTTCTCTTGCTCCTCTTGAAGTACGGACGGGCCAAGTTGGTCTAAACAGCAACAACAGAGGTTAGGCCGGCAGACAGCACTCAGGTGGCAGTGCTTTCGCCACAGAACCGTTTTTAAGAGCGTAAACAACAGAGAGTCAAAGCATGACCTCGAGCGTTGGCTAAAAAGTCCGGACTACCGCAACAAACCGTAAACATCACATAAGAGTGTGACAGGCATCGGGCCTTTCTGCTTTGAAAATTCTAAACCAAAATAACGTAAAGGAAAAATGAATGAGAAGAGGGAGAGGCTCGTCAATTGGAAATCAAACTCGCTAATTGAAATTCCGCCTCTAAGAGATTAAGAAAACATATTAAAAGAAGGAACGCGTAGAGTGACTCTTAAACAACAGGAATGAGTTCAATGGCGCGCGTAAAGATTGTCACGTTTTGTTGGAATTAGACGAGGAAAAGAATACATCGTATCAATGGTTCGATGTCCAGGACTGTCAATTCTTCGAATGTAGAATTAGAGTACAAGAAACGTAAATTTTTGGAAGGAAAAGTTCGCTATTTCAAGATATTAATAAAGGTGTAGGGAACTTTACACGCCACCGACTTTATTTGCATACGCAGTTACATCGGGTTTTCCGTAGTACAATGATCAGAATTCATGGAAAAAGAATTTTGACGGTTTTAGCTTTTGTGATGGCAATTTGTGTATCTTTCCAGCTAGGTCTTATATGGAGTACTCGTTCCTCCTTTTTTGATATTGTTCGTGAACAACTAGATGTCGAAAGCCATGTGCAGCGGTTGCAATTTCGAGAACTGAAAATTAATCGCACGACAACTTCTACTTCGCAAGTTAATTACAAATCATTTCTTATAACCAGGAGCTCTTGTATGCAACATTACGATCTTCTTATGATTATCTCCTCCGCTCCAGGTAATTTCGAAAGAAGGAATAACATTCGTAAGACATGGGCATTCGAAAGATCCGCAAAACCAACTGAGATGGACGTCAGTTTTTCTGGTTGCCCAAACACGGAATGAAACAGTTTCGAACGGGTTGCTTGACGAAGATGAAGCTCTTAAGGACCTTGTACGAGCTAGCTATTATGACCACTACTGGAATCAAACCCGAAAGATAAAAAATGGGCTTCGAGTGGGCAATAACGTATTGCAATTTTTCGTTTCTTTTGAAATCGGATGACGACGTTTTCGTGCACGTTCCAAGAGTCCTCTCCTTCTTAAGCGCACCCACCACGCCGAAGAAGATGTTTTACGCTGGCCGTCGTTATGCAAACAAGGGCCCTCGTAGGAAAGGCAAATGGATGGTAACTTACGAGGAATATAACGAGACAAGATATCCAGATTTTTGCCCTGGTTTTGGATACATTTTATCTCACGATGTTGTACGTGCATTTGTTGACACTTTCTCTTCTTTGCCGTTCTTCAGACTAGAATGTTTACGTTGGCATGCTGGCGAGTAAGAACGGAATAAGTGTCACAAACAATGTGGGTTTTGAAGTATGGCATCCGCCTCAATATGTATGTGTTCCAATAAAGAATACTTTAGTCAGGCATGATGTAGGGGAAGAGTGCCAACTGAAAATGTTTAACTTAACCATTGTTCCTCGGTAGTTCAAGGGCGTAGTCAGTACATACGTATATTTAGATAAATTCTTCAGTGAGTGATGTTTCTCTGTTCGATATCCGTTGTACATTTGAGTGCAGCTATTTAAAGCTATTTTTTATTTTGAATGTGCGTTGCTCGAAGAGTCAGAATCAGGGCACTGGATACTACAACATTTACCGACAATCAGGTTGAGTGTCAGAGCAAGTTGTATATTTGTCACTATTTACAGTAGATATCAAGAAACGATTATCACAGTTTATTATTTTATCAAACTTTGCCTATTGTTATGGTTTAAAATTTTTAAGACAATGTTGTCTGGCCTTACGGATTTTTCCGTCTGGTTTCGCGAAATTATACTCGAGTCAAATCGGATTCAGTCGGCGAATTGTCACTGATGACATTTTTTCCCAACGGTAGCCTACTTTGGAAATCAAAGACAAACCAACAGGGGGTGAGTCAGTAAATTTCAAGAGTACGTCAACTGCTTTGACTAAACTTTTGTCATACCGTGCGCGCATGTTTCGGCCTTACTCAGCCTAACTGTACTTCACTTTTATTTTAGTCGTCGTCAAGTAAAATAATTAATACTTAGTACTTAATAATATGAATACTTAATACTTAATACTTATAATACAGCTTGTTGTATTATATCCGTGTAAGTTTATGATTTAGCTCATGTTTTAGCAAGCAAGCGGCGGTGAGAAGCTAGAAGCGATGAGAACGGGCGGTTGCTATGCATTATCTCAGTTTAATATGCCTTATGCGTTATGTTTCTTTAAAAATGACTTCTGTTTAAATTTACTTCGTGTATGGCTTAATAATCATTTAACCAATTGCGCCTAGATCTACGTTGATCGGCAAGAAGACTATTTTGTCTTTTGCACCTTTTCACGTTTAAATGATTTAATGATTTGATAATCGCTAATTGTTCCACTGCTAACATAAGAAAAGAAAAGAAAAGAAAAAAATAGAATGAAGACACCACTCGATGTCGAGAGTGCGTGAAAAGGCGGGTTTACTTAGACTATTGTCAGGCCTCGCGTTTTTGTTTTTTGGTCTATTGAAGCAAGTAAACATCGCTGTTGAAGGCAAAACAAAAGGTGCGAATTTTGCGGTTTCGCACCTTTTTCCGTTTAAGTGATTTTATTCACCGGTTAGCCAAAAATTCTCAAACAAAAATCTCTATCGTCCCATTGGGTGAGTGAAAATAAAATAGTCTCCGATTTTTTTTCTCTTCAAAGACCGCGCAGCCCTGTCCACGTCCCAATAGCTTTTGCGGCTAACGTTAAATTTCACGGTGTTTTTTACAGGGTTAACTTCAAGGCGACTTTGGGCAACTTCGAGTCTTAGAAGCTGAAGTTCCTGGCGAAGCTAGAAAACTTCAGGTCTTCTCTCTGCCAATTCCGCCGCCTGGCCATAAATAATCTTAACATCTTCCATTTTTTCAGCTCGTAGGTGCTCATTCTCAGCGCGCAAATGACGAATACGCTGTTCCTATGCCTCAAGGAGTGGCAAGGAGATGGCAGACTGCTCTACCTCAAAATGCCTCGGTCCGCGTCTGTAGAGGACGTTTGGCGCCTTCTCTATCTTAAACTTGGAAAACATTTTCAAGAAAACTTTTTTTTCGACGATCTCTTCTAATGACACGAGCGAAATGATTTTTGTCAGGTGACAATAGCGAAATGATCGTTGTCAAGTGCACGCGGTTTATTACCATATACGCCATTAGCATGACAACAAGAAAACAATGGTGTCGACTGAGCGCGAATTTCAAAGACGCTCAGCCGCACTCAAAACATGTTAACTTTTGACGATTAAGAGACAAAGACGAGAAAACAATACACAACTGACCACGAAAGCGTTGCATCTTTATCTTTAATCTTTAACCCTTTCACTCCCACAAGTGACCAAGACAGAATTTCTCCTTACAATATCAATACAATATCATACAATATCATATTATTATTATATTTCATATAAACTTCACATCATTTCACTGCACGGGAAGATATGAAATCAATAAATTGACCTCGCTCCCAATGTGTGGCTTCATAGCTCAGTTGGTAGAGCATCGCACCGGTATCGCGGAGGTCACGGGTTCGAATCCCGTTGAAGTCCTGATTTTTTTTTTTTTTCAGGCTTCTTCTTTCCAATTGCTTAAATTGGAAAATTTACTGCGATGATCACATTTCACTTTCATCTACAACCGCAGTACAAAATATGAATTATTTCATATAAACTTCACAATACAATATCAAGCAGGTAGGTGATGAGAATAGAGAAAAATGTCAATCATGGGATTACTAGTTGATCCAATACCAAATTCTCTGAACTAACATCATAGGAATTGTACGGCATATAGTAAGGAGAACTCCTAATTAGATCTTGGGAGTAAAAGGGTTAACTGACCCTCTCTCTCTGTTCCAAATACTTAATAGCTGAAAATTCCAAAGAAAACGGTGGCTCTTTGAGATAAACAATAACTAACCCTTGGAATTTGAAAAAGAGGGTGAATATGTGCCTTTTCAGTGTCAGGAAGGAAAAGATCACCGTTAAAAATTCAAAACGATCACGTCGGCTGAGCTGCGCATGACAGTACAAAAGTTTGTTGAAACCCAATTAGTTTACATTCAATGGCGCAAAATATTTGCATACACCAATGATCGCTCCTTAATTCAAATTCTTCCTCTGCAACACCTTTTCATCTTTTTTTTTAATTGCATATGAGATTGAATATTTCTCTTCTTTGGCCTGTACGACACGTTTTTTTGCAAAGTGAGCTTAATTCGTCTTAAATGTAAACAAGGAAAAAGTCATTTGTTGTTGTCTTTAAATAATTATCAAAAATACGCCCGAATCTAGAAGGTCACAACCTTGTTTACATATTTTCATCGAAACACAAGTTTCGTCCACTGAGACCGCGTGTAGCAACTTAGTTACTCAATGAAGTAATTGCCTTGAAGAAAACAAAACACCATTTGCAACGCCCAACCTGAAGAAAATCCTCCCCTCGACTGCTTCCCCCCTCGAGAAGCATTGTTTGGTACCCAAGGTGTTTCCATGCACGACGTTCACAGTTGGAGACCGCTGACTCCCATGTCGCAAGTGTTCTCGTCCACATTTAAGATGGCGTCTATGGGTGTATTTCTTGTCATTTCTCTTCTTCTAGGATTTGCACTCGTAAATGGTGAACACTTGCAAAATACGCTCAACCTCCCGCCACGGGTGCTGCTTCCGTATGTCGCTAGTGGATCCGTTCATACCAATTTTTCCTTCAAAGTTCTGCATGGATGCTTCGTATGGTGAGTTAGTTTCACTTAGATAAACTTAAGAGTTCCCGCCAATTTGACAGATTTTCACCTAATCCGAAATAAGTCATTTTGTTTTACTCGATGTTGATGTGTTGTTTCTGAGGACTTCGAGTAGACCCGAGGTTGCTTCAACTCATCCCGTGTACAACAATGGAGACGAAGTATCAGGTACGTTAAAAATTACTCGAAGAATCTAGAACCTCCTCGCACGTGCGTTTATCTTTTCGCTCACCGGCCTCAAGGAAATAATGGTCAGTTGAATGCATGGGTCTCAAGTCTGAGTTATTTGAATTGTGCCGACCATAATTTTACAACGTCTATATTTTCTCTACTTTTGTGGGCAAAAAAATAAACTCTAGTCAGTTAGGGAGGGATGTATTGGAACGGGTGAGGAGGCAACGATCCGTGTGAGCGGCGAGATGGCATAAATACATGCAGGACACAAAGCGAAAGTTTGAATTTTGCCCCATATTTCCCCAATGTATACCACTGAAAAAACAACTCTATTGAAATTTAATGAAATAAGAAGTTATTACTTTCTGTTCAAAGTCTAATAGATTTCTTCCATGCGAGAACTTATCACAAAGTTTAAACCACATTAAGTAATTTTTTGTTTGTCGCTGTTATTTGCCATGATAAATTACACTAGTGGAAGAGAAAAAAGTACACCTCTATTTATAAAAATAGATTTTTTTTAAGTAAACATGTTTGCAAAATACAACATTCAATAAATATGACATTAAAACTTAATTAACTATTTAGACATGACATCTATGTAAACAATTAGAAACTTTCGTGCCATGCAATTCTAAGAAAATTTTGTAAAGGACTTCATAATAGTTCTTTTTCTGAGCAGTTTAGAAATTGAACCTTTACATTCTTCTGCAATGTTGATTTTGGAAATGTTGATATACTTATTAGGGAGAAAATGTTCAAAGGAAGCCATTTTAACAGCCCAAGCAAGAGTTCCAAAAATGCAAATGACAGAAATATTTGGAGAAGATGAAGGTGATTTATATGGTCAAGTAAATTTGGCTTTTTAATTAAGTCTTCCTTGTAACTTAACCCTTTAACTTCAAGATTTGATTGTTGATTCCCTCCTCTTGCTTCCTACAAATATCCATGGAAATTATAGTCACGAGAATTTGGTATTTGATCAAGATGATATCTTCTACCTGCTAAATTTGAGTATTCACATTAACTGTTTGCTGAATGATGTATGGATATTGTAGGGAGAAGATACATGTTAATCATGTTTGGGAGTTGATCATGAGTCTGGAGAATTTGTTCTCAGATCCTGGTAGTAAAAGGCTTTTGACAACATCTTATATTTGTATATCAATGAATATTATAAAATAATTCAAATGTTATGCGTGCTCTGATTGGTCATAAAACCGTTTTACATGAGCGTACGTAAACATGGTTTTTGTTCCTCTTTCATTAGTTATTTTATAAAAGAAATGTAAAATGGTTTCCGTGTTTACATAGCCTGATGTAAACACTTGGGAGATTGGGAGAACACTCAATAAGTTGGAAGCCACTCCACTTTGTGTCGTGGTTTCCTACTTTTATCTCATGTTCTCCCAACCTCCCGCGTGTTTACATCAGGCTATGTAAACATGGAAACCATTTTACATTTCTTCAGTGTTTGATGAGAGGACTAAGTCATTAATTCTTATTAGTTACACACACTACATGCCTAAAAAGTGCTTCATTTTTACTGGTGGACCTCTCCTGCAGTTAAGCCTTTCAGGTGCGGCCAACAAAAACAAGCATCATATGTCCAAACTGAAAGGGCAGATATAAGGATGTAAATATTACTAAATGGGTTTAGTGACTTAAACTGTGGAGCTTGCACAAAGTTTTATTTCACTAAATGTACTTAACTGTAAATAATAATCACTGTCAATCATTCAGTAATTTTTTTTTTCATTCATCCTTGTCAGTTACTGGTGTGGTTTTGCGAAGCGATGTTTATGTACATGACATTGCGAAGATTGAAATCGTTACTACCACTCGCAAACTTTTGCTTGGGGAAGCACCAGCAGTTTGTCATATCCAGGCCTTTGACAAGGAAGGTATGAAATGTTGACTATTATCATGATGTAAAACCACTGTAGTTTTATGTTTTAAGTTGCTGCCATTTTAGTAGCCCCTTGTTATGTGTGTAGAGAAATTTTGGCAAGTAGATTTTGAATTAATGTTACCTAAGTTGCAGCCTGTCTTTCAAGGTCTTGTGTATCCCAGCAAGCTATAATATTTTCACTTTTAGTCAAAGCTGAATAAACATTTGCTTAAACTTTTACTGATATTCCACTATTTTTTCCTTCTCATGAATAGGCTAAGCATTAGCTTGTAGGCAAGAGATGCAGTTCGGAGTACAGTGAATAATGTAATTTGGCACAAAGTGTTTTGGGCTATATTTTTCTTTTGGTAAAAAGTACCAATATTTCATTTCTGGTGACAGTTTTTTAATTTTTGCTTGTCAGAGGGTAACTTTGAAAAATGTTGAGCTTGGAGCTCTGCCATGGATTATTTGTGTTGCTGTGAACTTCACAGTGATAATTATTTTAAAATGTTTTATTCCAGGAAATATGTTTTCCACTCTGGGTGGTCTTGAATTTGAATGGGAACTGAAGACAGTTGAGGGGGTTGGTTCAGTTAATGCAAAATCTGTGTTAAGGTAAGACTGGATTTATTCCATTTTTTATTTTGTAATTTTAGATTATTTTGACATGATTATTTGTAGTTCTGTGCATTTAATTAAAGTTTTGCATATAGTGAAGTTCAGAATTAAAGATGAAGCCTGACTGTTTTAAGGGGGCTGTCACTTTATAACTGCATGGTGCAAAGTGTGTGAAAATGTGCAACACATGTATAATTAACCCTCTAATTCCCAAGATCTGATTCTTAATTCTCCCCTCTAGCTGCGAGACCTTTCCTTGCAAATAAGTTATGAGAACTTGGTGCTAGATCAAGATGGCAGATTCTACCTGATAAGTTCAAATATTCTCATTCAGGGCGTGAAATTGCACCTAATACAGGCGCCAATGCGCCTAAATTTTTCACTTTGGTGACCAAATCCTGAAAGGTTAGTCGCCAAATTGGCAACTAGAACGTTTCATCATAATCTTACCAAGAGATATAGTGAAT